CATCGTCTTTCATTGTTGGGATTATTTAGGGAAACACCTGGGGCAGAAATGATTGCAGATGAAGTGACTTGCCTGAGTGAGGCTGGGTCAACCAGGGCAGAGCTGGAACCACCCAGGAGCCCAGTGCCAGCTCCACAGCTCACAGCAACTCGACCAAAATGCAAAGCTAACAGCACAGCCGAGGCCCAACCACCAGGACACCCTGGGTCCTGGCACTGCTGACCGAGTGTGGCACCTGACTGAGTCAGGCTCACTGTGTGCATCCAGCACCCACTCCGGCACCTGCAGATGGGGTAGCACAGCACAAAGTGCTTGGAAAGGCACTATAGGTTTGTACCTGTGGCCAAAGGGAATTTCTGTCTCTCAGATGCTGAATGGCCAGGCAGCCAACTGGGCCAAGTTAAATGTCACTTGGACCATTCAATGGTGCTACCCTCTATAAAAATCAGAAAAGCAAGAAAAAAGGGGAAAACTCTTCATACTTCCATTTGTGATACCAAAGCAATGTTCTAAAGTTTAATCCTCTTATGAAAAACTACTTCCATAATGAAGCTAGTCAACTGCTCCCTCAGGTTTACACAGCAAACCGGACACATACCATTGGGTTGCTAAGCAAAGCCACAGGACGTCATTTAATACATCCTAATCACATTTAGGCACACAGAGGTTTCAAATGGCCCTATTAAGCCATGCTGCCATGCTCCGGTGCCTGTGTCCCAGAAGCAGACAGTCTGGCACAAGACCCTTGGCACGCAAGCTAGAAATCTCATTAGTAAAGATCTGTAAGGACACGGCTTCCATCTCTTCTCAGCCATGACTTAGTTCTTGAACAACAAGCCTAGAGAAAAAACTCTGGGGAAGTGGCTCAGCACACGGATGTAGACCACGCTATGCCCCTTGGGTCCCTGAGATCAGTGGTCAGAGGCAGCAGGTCATGGGTTCCAAGTTCTACAAGAGAACTAGTATTTGCTGGATAAGCATTCAAAAAATATATGTATATAGTTTCTGGATTCACACAGGCAGCCTTAAATCAGGGGTTCTCAGTCCGGGTGATTTTGTGCCCAGGAAACATTTGACAAAGTCTGGAGACATTTTTGGTTGTCACCACTGGGGTGGTAGAGGCCAGGGATGTTGCTAAACATCCCACAATGCATAGGGCAGCTCCCACAATAAAGAACTGCCCAGCCCAGGCCTGGGAACAATGTGGTTGGTTGGGTGTTGTCCCATACATCGAAGGGAATGCCAGTTCGATTCCTGCTCCAGGCACATACCCAGGTTTCAGGCTCCATCCCCAGTCCTGGGTGTGCAAGAGGCAGCTGATTGATGTTTCATTTTCACATCAATATTTCTCTCTCTCTCTCTCTCTCTCTCTCCCCCCTCCCTTCCTTCCTCTCTCTCTAGAAATCAGTAAAAAAAAATCTTAAAAAAAAGAACTGCCCAGCCGAGAATGTCAATAGTGCCACGTTGAGAAGCCCTGCTTTAGACAAGAACTGTGATAAAAAAAAGTGTAACTGTGTTGTTGTGACTAACCATGGATTTACTGAGGATTCATGGCCCAATAAACTCTCAGCAGGGCTGAGCAGTGTTTTCTACAACTGTGTCTTCGTGCTTCATATCATTCCTTTCATCAGCTACTCCCAGTGGAAAACCACAGACAGCACTGTGAAGTGGATTGCTCAGCCTCATGAGTCTTCTCACCCCCCTTTCAGATTCCCTTTTATTCTTTTTGGCATCCGTGGGCCCCCTCCTGGCCAGCCATCCCCAAGGCCCATGCTCTGCCCCAGAGACTCAGATTCTAGAGCTCATATTGCAGCTTAACCTCTCACTGGCTTGTGAACTTGGGCACAGACTAAAACTGAGACTCCCTCTCTTCATCTTTAAGATGCAAAACATAATAGTATGGCCTTCTGATGTGACGCTCCTCACTGGTGCCTGGCCCACAGGAAGAAACTGATGAGAGTTATTTTTGTGCTGGGTTACCATTCCTATATCCATCATCTCTACCCTTGCTCTCATTACTCCTTCCGGGATCAAAAAGGTGCTCAGCTGGAAAGCAGTCAGAAAAGGAAAAAGTAATCTGATTCATTCTGAACCCTAAGTAACTTATTGTATCTGAAGCTTTCCCCAACCAGGAAGAGCAACATTTCAGGAAAGAATAAAGGCAGAGCCCAAAGGAATCCATCTCTTCTAATGGGCTTTCAAGTTCTCAGCATAAGAACGGGAAATATTGTTAAAGGGGGAAGTTTCATTTTTTCCCTTTAATCAGGCTGGCTCTGGCTGCATTTGAAGCCTCTCTTTGAATGAGTCTGAGGCTTTTATAACCTCTAATGACAGTTACGTAAATGGGATGGTCTGAAAGTGCGCCAGGGCCCGCCTACCATGCTCTTTGTCCTAGATCAGTGGTTCACAACCTTCTGGCCCTTTAAGTACAGTTCCTCATGTTGTGACCCAACCATAAAATTATTTTCGTTGCTACTTCATAACTGTAATGTTGCTACTATTATGAATCATAATTTAAATATCTGATATGCAGGATGGTCTTAGGCGACCCCTGTGAAAGGGTCGTTTGACCGCCAAAGGGGTCACGACCCACAGGTTGAGAACCGCTGTCCTAGATCAGTGATGGCGAACCTTTTGAGCTCGGCATGTCAGCATTTTGAAAAACCCTAACTTAACTTTGGTGCCGTGTCACATATAGAAATTTTTTGATATTTGCAACCATAGTAAAACAAAGACATATTTTTGGTATTTATTTTATATATTTAAATGCCATTTAACAAAGAAAAATCAACCAAAAAAATGAGTTCGCGTGTCACCTCTGACACGCGTGTCATAGGTTCACCATCACTGTCCTAGATGAACACTCAGTTTGTCCAGGTGGGCAGCCCCCACCTGCCCAATGGCAAGCCAATGCCCTTCCCCTCACTTGCTCCTCTGGGGGTCCCAGAGTGGGGCTGCCTCACACTGAGGCCTGCCTCCTCCTTCTTGTTTGGGAGTATCTCAATGTCCCTTTCTGTATGTACCTGCTGTCACCTGCATTCTCCTTTATGCCCCCTGCCCCAATCAGCCATGTGCCCTCACTCCCTGGCTGCCCACCTGGATATGTTGACCTGCTCTGCTGCCTGGCCTGACTCTACGCTTGGGGCTCAACTTCTTCTCCAGCCATAAGGAAATGTATTTCCCTCCTTGTACCTGCTCCTTGGGACAGGGTGCGTGTGTGTTTCTAAGAGTAGAGCTGCTTAAGCTTATATTCGTTTCCTAGGGTGGCTGTAACCACAAAGTGGATTTGAGAGACTAGAAGTCTGCTATCAAGGACTGCGTAGGGCTATGTTCTCTCTAAAGGCCCCAGGAAAGGATCTGTATTGCCTCTCCCTAGTGTCTGGTGGTTGCAGGCAATCCTCGGTGCTCCTTGACCTGTAAACACATCACTCCAGTCTCCGCCTCCGTCACCTCGTGGCACTCTGTTCTGTGGTCTCCCTGTGTGCTTTCTGTCTGCACAAGACATCCTCCACTCTACATCTATGTCGAAACATCCCTCTTCTTATAAGGATCTCAGTCCTTGGAGCAGGGCCCACACCAATCCAGCACAACTTTATCTTAACTGGATCACATCTGCAAGGACTGTTTCCAAATAAGGTCATATTCTGAGGTTCTGGGTGGACATGGATTTTGAAGGGACACTGCTCAATCCAGCTTAAACTTCTAGGGACACAGTGTCTCCTGTGGAGGCCTCTTCTTTTCAGAGCACAAAGGCACACATGCCCCACTGCTCCCACAAAGGCACACCCCCCACTGCACCCTCCCACACTCAGGGCTGGGTCAAGTCTGGCACCGTGGCCTGAGCCACTCCTTGCATCCAACTCTTTTGTCAAGGGCTTGCTTTCCTCACTGGAGTCAGTTCTCATTTGTTCTCTCTACTCTCAAGTCTTTCACATAAGACTGTCATGAATGAATCCCAAGTATGGAAGAATATTAAAGGAACCCAGGGCTTCTTGCTGATAGGAGACGGAGTGGCTATCACCCAATGCTGTGAAGCAGTGTCCTCCTGTCCCCACTCTGACCCAATGGGCCCCATCCTGTATCGTCATCTGTTTTTGTTAATCCTCACCCGAGAATATTTTTTCCATTGATTTTTTTTTTAAGAGAGAGATACATCGATTGGTTGTCTCCCGCACGTGCCTGATTGGGGCTGAGGATTGAGCCTGCACCGAGGTTTGTGCCCTTGACCGGGAATCGAACCTGCAACCCTTTGGTGGGTGGGCCATCATTCTAACTACTGCACCACGCTGGCTAGGCTGTATCACCCGTCTTTAGGAGTCTGAGGGCTGAATCATTGGCTCTGTCTCCATGATTAGAATAGGAGTTTAACTTGCTTCAGACTAGCACTCGCCCACAGTGAAGGAAGAACAAGTATTGGCGGGAGAGCACTGAGCCCTTCCTGGCAGAGCAGGTGAGCTGTGGCTCCAGCGAGGCCACCTACCAGTCATGTAGTAACAGTCAAGTCACCCAACCTCTCTGCACTTGTGCCATTCAGATCAACACATGCCAAAGCCTCAGCTGGCTTGGCGTCTCCAGTTTCTCAAATGAAACATCTCTCTCCACACCCTAACAAGTGCAAAGAGAGAAACAAAGTCATTTACATGAATATGAGCACACCCTACTTTTGAAACTGCTCCTTAAACATATTTGGTTTGAAATGATGTGAAAGAAGATCCTAACAGCCTCCTAAGGAGGTTATCACATTCTTCCTCCAGGATGAGGTAGGTGGAGCATGGTCAGAAGGAAGTCAGTAAATGAATCATGAACTTCATAGGTAATGAGGGACTTTCCCATCCCCAAGAAGTTAAAAAGACATGAGAATTATGAACATTATTCAGAGTCTGGCTGAGACAAAAAAAAAAAGGCAAGCCACCCTACAAAGTCTCACTGGACACAGTAATGCTTTGCATATATGTGACACATTGCAGAACGCAAATAATGCTTGGCGGAGCAGCTCTCACCTCAATTCCTTCTTTATTTAAGGCATATTCATCAAAATTCAAGATGGCGATCTTGATCGTTCTTGGAGGGGGCAGCACCGTCAGCCCGATGTTAATGGCATTGCTCCTCTTCGAGTCCAGGACGATGATCTCCTGTCTTTTTCCGTCTGCGGCAGTTTTCTGGGTAATAGAACAAGGAGAATCCAAGATTAATGCCTCATCTTTGATCCTTTCTGTGTTTCATTATTAAAAGCAAACTCACTATTTATTCAGAGATGAAAACCAGTGGCCCCACTTAGGCGCAAAGGACTGGCTACCGCTCAGCACAGAAGAAAGCCATCAGGGCTCAGCTCTTGGCAGCCGCCAGGCGCAGGCCAGCAGTGGAACTTCGCAAGTCAGACACATTACAAAACAAAATTGATTTTCCTTCAATTGGGAACAATGTGATATTTTGCAAGAAAGAAACACACACACACACACACACACTCCTGTTTTTTTCCATAGAAGCAGTGGAAACAAAACTAAATCCTCCCAGAGCTCCCTCCCTGTGATCTGCAAGGAATCGGAATGTGCTCTGGTTGGCCCTAGGGCTCATGGTGTGTGCCTGGGGATGGAGACGGTGGTACACGTGCTGAGGAGACAGGAGTGACCTGGAGAACCTGCCATTGCTGGCCGGTCAGCCCCTCTGGATCCCTGGCCACATCGTCTCAGGGGCTCCTCTCCCCATTCAAATGTCCCATGCCCCTTATTCCAGAGTACCTGCCACACTTCCCCATGTGGGCAGCTGCCACTAGTGGGTGAGGAGGAACCTTCTTAGGAAGGAGACCAAAGGACAGGTGCTGGTGAAGAAGAATGGGGGGACAAACAGAACTGGAGGCCAAGGAGGGGAACAGAGGACAGAGGTGTCTAAGTGTCCTCATAGAGCCCTCGTGTGTGGCTTCCCTGCTGGGCTGAGTGCCTTGGGAGCAGGCCCTGGTGTGTGGTGCCCAGAGATGAGGTGACAAGGCCTCCAGCTTCCCCCTGAGCTCCTGGGAAGTTCAGGGTAGTGGACATGGGAACAAGTGGACAAGGTCTGGTCAGCAAGCCCCCTGACCATGCAAACAGAGCTGGGAGAATAACTACTCTTATTCAGGTAACAAGCCTAGATGACAATGATGAGTTAGGCAGAGCGGACCTCTTGAAGGAAAAGATGGGGGGTTTACAATGTGAAGGAGCTCAGCAGTGGGGTAATTAACTCATCTAATGTTGGGGGGCAGGGTCTGGAGGAGCTGACATCTCGGCTGGGTCCTAAAGAACGTGTAGGATCTAGTTTGGAGCTGGGGAGAGAAGATAAGGAGCTAAGAAGTGGCTTTGTCTAGATTGCCGGGGATTGCCAGAGAAGAAGCTGGAGGTTTGGGGGGCCACAACCAGGGGCCCTCAGGAGCCAGCCATTCTGACTCCATTGCAGGCGGGCCCCAGCTGAATGGCTGGCTGCTGTTCACCATGGGTGTGGCTGGGCTGGGAGCAGCGGAACTGTCAGGAGAAGCTGGCCGTTGCAACATGAGACTGGAAGCCGACTTGGAGAAAAGGACTGCGGCTCCTTACGTCCTACTGAGCCCTTCCAAAATCAATTACTAAAATTCTATTTTAGATCCTTAAATATGCATTTGGGAATAAATTAAAATTTCTTCCTGAGAAAAATAATTGAAAGCATCCCAGCTGCTCTGGGGCCTGGTGGCCAGGAGGAACAGTGCCTGTGGGTGTGGCATCGGCTCTGACCGCCGGCTTCCGGGATGTATGGCACATGGACGCACCCTCGTTCCGCAGGGCAAGCTTGTCTTCTATTCATTTAATCCAATGAGCCTCTCGGGAACCCTTGAAATTTAGCTTTTAAAATCTAATCACAAATAGTATTTTGTGGGTGAAATGCTAAGAAGGAATGGGAAAGGGGTTGGCAAATGCTGACTACAGGCAATGAAGAGGGATGAGAGGGATGTTAAGATTCCAAATTCTGCCCTAGCCAGTTTGGCTCACTGGATAGAGCGTTGGCCTGCGGATTGAAGGGTCCCAGGTTCGATTCTGGCCAAGGGCACATGCCTGGGTTGCGGGTTTGATCCCCAGTAGGGGGGCATGCAGGAGGCAGCTGATCAATGATTCTCTCTCATCATTGATGTGTTTATCTCTCTATCCCTCTCCCTTCCTCTCTGAAATTAATAAAAATATATTTTTAAAAAAAGATTCGACATTTCCACTCACCCAGTACCCACTCCTTCTTCCCTGCTCACAGCAGGGCCTTGACTTCTGTTGGGCTGGCAATGTGTCAGTGACATCAGTCCCATCCCTGGACCCTTGCAGCCAAAGCTGGGCCTGTGACCTAGGTCTGGCTTTTGTTTTTCTGATTAAAAAGGGATAGACCCAGAGGGCCATGCCCTCCCCCATTTTTTCCTGCCGAGAGTGTGGACATGAGGCTATATAAGGATGGCAGCATGGAAGGAGCCTGGGTCTGGCATTGGAGAGGCACTTTCCCCGAACCAGGCTCCAGTGCAGGAGGCACTGATCAGAGGGCAGGGATTCCCTGGGAATCATGAGCCTTTAGTCCCTCACCTACAGTCCCCTCATTCCAGGAACCCAGAGAGATGCCTGGACAGGCCCAGCCCAACCAGAGCCTTTGTGCAAATGAGAAAAAGACCACATCCCCGCAACTGGGGAGACACATTCCCATGGCAAACAGCTTGAGAAGAAAGCACCGCTCAGATTTCAGCCCTGCCCCTTCAGCCAGTGTCTACGTGCCAAACAACGTGCACAGACCTACATGGTGGCCCTGAGCCTGACATATCCTTGTCCCCATTTCAACAGAATTCAATGGACACCAGTGGGCACACCCACACACTCCCCTGCAAGTTGGGGAGATGCCTCCGGCATCTTGAGACACTGTGAAAGCTGTCCCCACAGATGACTCTCCATGTTTTCAGAGCTACTTCCACCCACTTTGTGAAGGAATAAGAATTAAAGTAATATCTGAAATTGATTTATTCAATCTCTGGAGTTTATCCAAGAAATGTTTTAAATGCTGTGCTTCATAATGAAAACAGATTCCACTGGAAGCTACTTGAGCACACCACTGCCTTGGGGTTTGTCTTGCCTGCCATAAGGTGGTGGCTCATGTAGGGCTGTCCTTTCTTCCCACAGTAACCTAGAGAAGCACCTGCAGGAGCTAGCCAAAGTTCCCCGTACCCAAGAGCCCGTGCCCATGTCTAAGGATTAGCAGTCATCAATTCTGATCCATTTCAATCATCTTTTTGGGTTCAAAGTCCTCGATCAGCAAGTATGACCTTCAAATATCCTTCACATGGTCCTGTGACACAGCAATGTCATCCATCCTCGTCTACAAAGCCTCTCATGTCCCCCTGTCCTTCGTTCCCACCACCTCCGCCCTGAGCCCAGCCCCTGGTGCCAGCCTCCATCCCTGGCCTTCTGCTCCTAGTCTCTCCTCTTCCCCAGCCCACCCATCACTCGCTTGCTCACAGCCTTTCTCAGTCACCCATTTCCTTATTGCACATCTTTGATCAGAAAGTCAGTGACTGCCCATTGTTTGAAATTAGAAAAATAGGAAATGGGTCAATGATGGAAAGAGGATATAAAGCAGGAGCCAAAGAAGGAAGAGTGGTCCTTGTGAAGGAGATTAGGAGTTAAATGCCCTTCTGAAGGCATCTAGAACAAAGGGGTAAGATGTGACAGGACAAAGGTGGCACAGGACTTGGGAAGATGACAGGAGGCATAACTTCTAGGCAAGAAATCAGAAAGTTGTCCTGCATTTGATAGGAGACTAGACACATCCCCAAAAGCAACTCCCAAACAAGAAAGCAACAGACCAAAACCTCTTGACATATCGACACAGGGCCTACATGAAGGAAATGACAACACCATCTTGAAAGTAATAAAAGAAGATGTGAATAAAGGAGAAACAGCATATTTCTGGATAGGAAGTCTCAATGTTAAAAGGAGGCTCATTTTTCTCTCATCTAATACATACATTTAAAGTAATTTAATAAAAATCCAACAAGGTTTTTTAGAATTAAAAAATATTCTAAAGTCACTATGAAAGGCTATATGTATAAAAAAAATCAGTAGAGTTATATATAATATTTACCTGATCAGCTATAAAAACATTATAAAACCAATATAACTAAAATGTGTAGCACTAGAATAGCTAGAATGATAGATCAGAAAAAGTGATAGTACAGAAAAAGCTCTCAGACAACGTTCCAGGGCATTCTAACACATACCAAGATTAGTGAGTGACATTCATTTGAATGCCCCATCTCTAACATGGAACCAAAGAAAGTAACCTGAAGTCAGAAAAACCACTATGGCAGGTTAGCATCCTGACAGACTGACTGACATTTTCCTTCATAAGAAGAGAGAAGGCAAGAGCAGTCTCAGGTAAGTATGGTGGGAGCACGTCACGCCCCACGGATCCCCATGGCTGACTAGAGTCTCAAGTCATGATCAGTGATGGTGCAGGACAGCAAACCCTGAGCAGAGGCGGGAGGAGAGGCTGAGTCCTCCAACAGCCTCTTTCTGATTGGCTGAGTGTCTTCCCATATTTATTGATCTGGAGCCTCTCTTTGATATAGATCCCATTTCCTTAAACAGGTATTGCCCAAGTGCCAGTGAGGTGCCTACTCCTTGAGTGGGGCCATTTCCATGAGAATAATCTAATAAAGAAATGCATACCCGGGGAGGGCCAGGAGGCCCATGACACTATTGCTCAATCCTGTTCTCAGGCTGACAGGCTGGCCTCCAGGACTAATGGGGAGGGGAGCTCTGGAGACAGGCCAGGGTATTCTCCTTTGCCAGGAGCAGTGGCTCCTCTGTGACTGACAGTAGAATGGCAAACATGAAGTCCCCACCACTAACTGGGAGAAACACAACATCGTTTACCCAAGGAGGAAACGGGTCTGATTAATCTGCTGACACTCTCTGAAGGAAAACCAGGAATGTAGTTTATTCACAGCGGTGCTTTACAACTTGGGGTGCACAAGAGAATCCATAGGGGTACCTTTAAGCCACAGTGATACTTGGGTCCCCTCAGAGATCCGATATCCCCTGTCTAGAGTGGGGCGCAGGGGTCACAGATGTTTAAAAGATATCTGCCACAACAGGACTCTCTGATTTAGACTTTCAGAAGTCTAAAGGCT